ATAACGGCAGTGCCATTAAAATGCCACAATATGAGTGGGTGCACACAAGCATGTGTATGGGTGACTGCACCCTTATAATGGCACTGCCATTAAAATGCCACTATATGGGCGACTGTGCACCAGTGTCTGTATGAGTGAGTGTGCCCCCCTTATAACGGCAGTGCCATTAAAATGCCACTATATACCACATGTCTGTATCCCTGTCATACATGGGTTATGTGAACTAAGGTGGCAGACAGTGAATAGGATATTCAAACTATAAACAAGGGAGTGTTCAGGAGAAACTATAGATGTATGAGGCAGTAAGCTATGGTGTTAAAATGGAGAGTGGGCGAGTTTTTAAGGATTTTAAGGGAAGTTAAGGAAGAGCCAGGGTGTATGGTGGAAAGAGGGTTAAGTGGAAGTAGGGCATAGTGTAGTAGGGGTTAATGGGCGAGTTTTTTGAGGGCTGAGGAGGGTTAAGGAGTTGTGAGGAGTGTAAGCTATGGTGTTTTAAGGGGAGTTAAGGAGAAGGAAGGGAGGAGTGTGGTGTTTGTTAATGGGCGAGTTTTTAAGGGTTAAGGAGTGTGAGGGAGAGTAAGGTAAGGAGAGTTAGGGGATAAGCTATAGTGTTTTAAGGGTTAGGGTTAGGGTTAGGGAGGAGGAGCACAACGAGCGAAGCGAGTTGTGCGACGACGACGACGAGTGGGGAGTCGAACTAGGACAACAGGGGATGGAGAAAACTCCAACCCATCCTGTTTCGACTTTTAACAGTCTCATCAGGTCCTGTATAGTTCATCCGATAAGGTTTTCCCGGCATCGCGGCCGGAACTACGGCCTGCGCGATGCGTAACATTGCTTACATGGGATATCCAATCGCAGATACGCGATTGGCTGCTATTGTTCGAGCTGTTCTAACAATAGTATCTGATTACTGATGCTGTTCCCGTCATCGGCGCACAGCTCCCGTGCTGTGACTAATGCTGATGATCTGCCATGAATGATGTCATGGTCCAGGCTGCGCATGACGCGACGGTCTAGGCTATGACATCACCTAATCGATCGGAGATCTCCTATGATGTAACATCACGTGATATGCCAAATATACCTTGTGCCGCCTGTTAGGGTTCGGTTAGGGTTCGGGTTTTGGTTTGGGTTCGATTAGGGTTCGGGTTAGCTATAAAAAAGCGTAATCAGTTATCGCATATAACGACGATTAAGTCGTTGCTAGAACACGTACGGTTAGGGTTCGGGTTAGACCGCGATACCGCCTGGTGAGCAGGCCGTACGAGTTGCTAAAGCAATATTAGAGAAAGCCAAGGAATTGCTACAATGAGTCATGCT